ACATGCACTTTTCGGAACGTCTGTCTGTTCGTCGGATTCTGAATCTGCATGGAACTTTTTATTGGAATAAAGCTCTGAAATGTATGATAGGGCTCACCGATAACTGCGCATAAGCCTGCGATGCAGCGTCAGTCGGAGGGCACTTGTAAAACAGGGGGCCACTTTTAGCCACGAAGCCATCGGGATGACTTGCATTCAATTCGTAGGGGATATCGCCCTGATAATTTCCATCATAACCCTGTAGATGCTCCGTTGAGGGCATTTGATCGAGAGGCCAGACAATGTCACTCAGCTGGGCCTGAGGAGCATAGCTCGAGAAGACTGTGTTTGCGGACATATGCTGCATAGGACATTTATAGGCGAGATGCTGTTCCGCCTGCTGTTGTAAGTAGACGTAGTTGCTTCCTGTACTGTCCTGTTTCGAACTCGAACGATCAATTGTCTCGACGAGGGACATTGGTACGTGTGTGTCGGAGAAGGAGTGGCGGCTGGTAGAGACGGACAACCTGTTCTTGGATGGAGAGATGGCCAAATTTCCAGACGGTATTCGTGGTCCAAAATTAATCATTTTCCTTCTCCGGTTGTGAAAACTGATTAGCACTAAGGCTATGAGAAGGATAATGAGAACTGTTAGGCCCACTATCACTCCGAGGACGATAGAATGCAGTGATGGCGATTCTTCCTCTTTTCCTGAATTCCTTAATGTAGGTGTTGGTATTGTCTTCGTTGTGGCCCTTGGCCATTCGTAATCTAGAATAGCCAACATACTTATAACCAAGGAGTAAACATATTTATGCATGCGTTTGTAAAGGGATGAGAGGAAAAGGGGATAAGATTTTGGTCTGGAAAACAGCAAATACGGCATTTCTAAAGTGCTTCTATGATGATGAATGTCGAGGTTCTGACTCTTAACTGAAGTGATAGATATAATTTCGGTCTATGCCTATAGACCTCAAATATACTAATGTATAACGCGAATACAAATTATATTTCTAAGTGAATATAAAACGGCTGAACTTCCAAAACCGATATATTAACCAGAAGGCAAACAGGGAAAGATGGAACGCTCACAGATTAGTCGGATCCCTTGCAGTCGTGTCAAACAGTGGAAGAATACCTGCGAAACACGTGTGTGGGCCTCTTAGCTAGTACCCGGGCGGTTAGTATGGCAAGTTACAACATCAGTACTATTATGTATATTGATGGAGCTAAATAATTGAATATGTGCGATGATGTACCTATATGTATTCCACATGAAAAGACGAAATTAAATTTTTCCGTTAAGTCATATCAACGGTAATCATATCAGTTTCTGGAATATATACTGGAACACCTTTTGAGGTCCTTGGCTTGACAGTCGTTGGACATGCGGTGAAAACAGCATACGTTCTGTTTATTTTTAGGAGATACAGTGTCTGTACTTTATAGACCGCGCTTAATGTTTCCGCCATCTTTAACCTAATCGCTTAATTTCAAACATCTGCACAATAAGTAATTGATTCAATCCCATTATGTGGATCAAACGCTTTTGAATGACTTATCTCTTGACTCTTATGCATTGGAATGGCAGGGGCTTTGGTTTCATCGTCAAAGAGGAAGACCAGTCGATTATTTACCGCATATCTGACCTACTAACATGTGTTTGAAGTCGGCCTACAACTTATGCCAAAAAGGAAGCTCCACCAGTCGTCGAACTATTTCCGATTTGAAAATCGATATGGCGATTACGGGAAATACGTGACCAAAGCTTCATAAATAATACACTGCGAGATGTCATTTTAAGAGGCTAGAGTCGTAAACTGTGTTGGTTTCCACAGGACCGCGTGGCACATGACTTTGGTGCTAATCTGTGGTTTGCTGCCTTGCACGCCCACTGATATGGAAGTCCAAAGTCTGCGTTTGCATTTCTGTCTTCTGTCTTTCTGTTTCTTTCCCACATACTCTCAATTTTTCCTCCCATAAGAAGCACAAGATCCTCTTTATTGCGCTGCCGTTCGTGCACTTTACGCCTCCATACGGCTGCATAGACAATTTTGGGCGAATGGACTCTTAATCGGAAGTGGCTCCTTAGCACGCAAACAACATCTGCCGATTCGGTTGAAGTGCACTCGAGAGAAAAGCGTACTTAGAGGACCGTTGGACTGTTCCCGACTGGATTATCGAAGCAGTTAATTTACCTCTATACGCAGACCAAAGGCCTACTTTCCGCCCGACTTACTGAGTTCAATGTCAGGAGCAGGAGCCTTAATGGTGTGTGTTTGCCCAAATTCTGCATATGAAAAGACCAGAACTGAAGACTCGATGGGACGCAGCTTAAACAGCCCTGCATAAGTGAACCCCGATGTGTTCATTTTCGCGCAAAACAAATCAGTTGGAAACACAGAGACGAAACGCTCATTATTTGCATGACAATCAGCATTAGTTCCGGAAACAAGGCGATACCTTATCAGTGGGAATTAAGTGGGACGAATGGCAGAAGGAAATCTGCGGTTTTCTATCGAATGTTTAGTTTTGAAGAATACTGAGAGTTCTCCGGTAACCCAACGCAACGAAACTTGCGAAATAGTGGTTTCCGAGAGCTAATCAAGTGCGTTATGGGCCATCCTCATCCTACTGCACCTTGCGGCTCGCTCTCTAACCCCGCCAGCAATCGTTTCCGAGCTGGATGGTTGGGGCGTTAGACTTCTAAACCACAAATCACGTTCTTTAGGCTCGGTGGCTATAGGACCTGGGATGTTTAGTGGCTGTCTGATTATGACTGATAAGCCAGAACTAACCATTCTCATTTCTCTTGACTTGCTCGGTGATGTTCCTGTGAGCATAACACCGGATAGACCTGAATCGTATTAGGCCGATGTGACTCCTA